TTTGGAGAAATATCTTTTTATATCCTCTGCCCATTTTTCAATAGATCGTTTATTTTTTTCATTAGTTGTATGAGTTTCTACATATCTTGTATACCAACTCTTTATTGGATATATCATTTGCAAATATATTCTCCTAATTAGTAGGTTGCCTTTCTGTTTTGTTGAAGGTTTCCTTCACTGTGAAGAAGCTTTTTAATCACATTTACTATAACATCAAGAAGAATAAAATGCCTAAGAATAAACCTAACCAAAGAAGTGAAAGGCCAATACTCTGAAAACTATAAGATAATAAAACTATAAGATAATGAAGAAAGAAATTGAAGAGGATACAAATAAATGGAAGGATATACCATGCTCATGGATTAGAAGGATTAATATTGTTAAAATAATCATACTACCCAAAGATTATAGATTCAATGCAATTCCTATCAAAATACCAAGATCATTCTTCTCAGAACTAGAACAAATAATCCTAAAATTTATATGGAACCACAAAAGACCCCAAAATAGCCAAAGCAATCTTGAGAAAAAACAAAGTTGAAGGTATTTCACTCCCTGATCAGAAACAATACTACAAAGCTATAATAATTAAAATAGTATGGTACTGGCACAAAAACAAACACTTAGATCAATAGAACAGAATACAGAGCCCAGAAGTAAATTCAACTAATCTATGACAAAGGAGGTAAAAATATACACCGAAGTAACATCAGTCTCTTCAAGTGGTGTTTGGAAAACTGGAAAGATACAATGCAAAAAAATGAAAGTGGGCAATTCTCTTACACCACATGCAAAAATAAACACAAATGAGTTAAAGACCTGAAACCATGAAACTCTTAGAAGAAAACATAGTAAAATACTTGATATCAGTCTAAGTAATATATTTTTGGATATGTCTCCTCGAGCAAGATAAACATAATCAAAAATAAAAACACATGAGACTGCTTCAAACTAGTCGATATTTTTATTTTTAAAAATTTTTTAATTGCTTTCTCCCATTTTATTTATTTATTTTTATTTTTCAATTAGAGTTGACATGCAGTATTATTTTATATTAGTTTTAGGTGTACGGCATAGTGGTTAGACATTTATAGAAACTAGTCAATATTTTTAAGCAATATATTTTCAAAGCCTCTTTGAACTTTACAATTCATTGTTTCTTTCCAAAAAATGTATAAATGTCTTCTGGGTTCGATGATAATATTTTTCTTAGAATGTGTGTGGAAAATCTTCTGTTCTACTTCCTCTTCCTTCCTTTGGTATTCTACCCATTTCTCTAAAATGTTGAACAAAATAATGCACTTTCCGAAAGCAGCATGCCTTGTGTTGTCACTTTTCGTCTCCTGGATTTTAACTCTCAGATGGGGGTATATAAATAGATAGAACACTGTCCTGCAATTCGACTTGATGTCAATATTCTGTACTATTAATCTTCCGTCTTTTCTCTATTTTATTTTTTCTCTTGAGCTGCGCAAAAATTGAATTAACGAATCAGTCATATAATTTTTTTCTTGATTTCAATATATGCAAATTAGGGTGGCCAGCTTGGCAAGGATGACTGATGTGTCAGAGGCCTAGAAGGCAGACCTCCCACTCTAATCCTGCCTCTGCCTCTCACTTGTTTTATGACCTTGAGAAAGCCACTTAATTGTCTGCATTTCATTTTCCTCATTTGCCAGATGAAAAAGGTGAGCTAAATGACCTAGAAAGCCTATTCTAGGTTAAAAAATAAAAGTGTCAGCCTATCCAAGACTAAAGTAGAGTTTTGAAAAATAGCGTGTGAAATTAAGCAAATGTGCATGTTGGTGGGGCAGTGTTGGAGACAGCGAAAGATTTGTTTCAACATATTAAAAATATTCTGTGCTTTGTCACTTGACCAAGGCCTCCTAACAGTGTGCTTCAGTGGTTTGTGAAACGTGCCTCTAAGACCAAGGTAATTATACTTGTTCCACTGAAGCATGACAAATGGCCTCTCACTTTGAATTCTTTTATGGAAAAGGAAAACCTTCCATAACAACAGCCCTGGAACTTAATTACAGGCTCCAAATCTGGAGCAAGAATAGAGATAGTCATTGGCTACAGTCAGGGGACAGGAGACCAAGAGCATGAGCTCGCCTGGGAAGAAGGAGGACAGAGTGAGGTAACAATGACATTTGTGGGGCTTCACTGAGAACTTGCTGTTTGCCAGGTGCTAGCCCAAGAACATTATATACATTATCTCATTTAATTCTCACAATAACCCTGAGAGATAGGTTAAGGGGTCGATTCTTTTACTCTTTCTGTTTTATAAAGATGAGTACTGGGAGGCTCTTAAAGAGGCTAAGTAACCTGCTTCAAGTTATTCAGCCAGTAGTTGTCAGAGGTAAGATCTGAACCCTGAGAGAGTATTCATTTATTTAATATACACTTTTTGACTATCTGGTATGTGCCAGGTACCCTTCTTAGGGTTGATGATGCACAAGTGACAGAAACAGAATTCCTGTTTACATGGAATTTGACTAATAATGGGATGAGACTGGTAATAACAAGCCAACAAATCATTTAATAATTTTAGGCGGTCGTAATGCTATGACAGAGAGTGACTGGGGTTTGCAGAAGGCTACTTTACACAAGATTGGCAGGGAGGTGACATTTGATCTGAGCCCTACATGTTGGAGGAAATCAGCCATGCAAAGATCTGTTGGATAGCTTTTTACATGGAGGGTCCCCAAGAATAAAGGCTGGGGACTTGGAAGAGCTTGTCTTGTTCTAGGAACAGAGAGAAGGCTAATATGGTTGGATGACAAGTGAAAAGGGGAAAATGTCTGCAGTGGAGTCCAGAAGTGGGCAAAGACCAGATGACACAGGGCCGTGTCGGCCACAGTATGACGTGCATACTTATTCCAAAGGCAGAGGGATGACACCGGAAGATTGTAAGCAAAGGCGCGTTCTATTCTCCAGTCTCTGTAGGTGGCTTTCTTCACCTTTGTGTTAAGCTGCCAACAAGGAGCAACTGGAGAGCGATACATTGTTTATATGCAGCGCAACCTAAATGAAAGTTAGAAAATTGGGAGCCAGTGTCTCAGGTGAAACAAAATTCTAGGTTTTTCACAGAACGACGAGACTGAAATCAACAGTGACAGGTCATCTAATCTGAACTTCCCACTTTAGGTAAGGAGACCTCAGGAGTGTTGGAATTATATTTTAAAACCTGCCTAAAGGGGACTACTTCTTGTGGGGGACCTTCCCTCAACATGCAGAAAGTTGCATGCTAGGTTTTGACCATTTCTTGGTCAGGGGGTTGCGCTTACCTCATAGAATAAATCTCATGCAAAATAACAAGACATGACAGCTTTGGGTAGATGGCATCGCAGGACTTTACATTTCTATGCAATCTGATGTGTATATGTGGATCTTTATCTGTGAAAAATATATTTGAAGGTGTGATCAACATTTTAAGATATAGGACCTGGCTTTTCTGGTGAGATGGCATTGTACGGATGGTTCTAGAATTTTATTGTAAACTCGGCAACTTGATTTATTTTATTTGAATGCTCTTTATAAACAAATACTCATGTTAACCCATTAAAACTGGTTTATGTCACATATAGGATGAAAATAATTGCTTGTTTAGGTTAAAAGCTCTATAGTTAAGCTATTTTTCTCTTACTTTGACAAAGGTATTGAGTTTCACTTTGATTTAGCAAACTAAGTTTGAATAACAACCCAAACCATTATTAATGCAGTGTATTTGTGTGTCTGTGTGGCTGATTCTCCATAAGTAGTTTTCTGACAGTGTAGACCTAACAGTACAGATTTATTTGAATGAAACTGCTTTTGGAGGCATTTATTTGTGATAAATCTGTGATGGAGTGGCCCTGGAGAGCAAGATATTAATTGCAAAAGAATTTAATTTAAGCTACACATGTGTAATTGAGTAAGATTTGGGGACGTTCATCACTCTTGACTTCGGTTTTATTTGTAAATAACGTTTGTTTCTCGGGAGGGGAAAAATTCTCAAACTATTTTATGCATGAGATTAGAAAAGTCCTAACCCTTCACATAAAAGTAATGTGTGACAGTCGTACAAGGACAGGGCAATATAAGCGTGGCTGTGTGATGCCGTGTGACAGAAAAACAGAGCTCCCTACCAAAGGTGCCGAATTAGAGGACACTTAAGGTTCCCCCAGCTCAAAATTCTGTGATTTGGGGAAAAGGATTTTTCCCTCTGGCTGTTTAAGTTAGAAAGTGTTTTCCCAAGGCCTTAGCTACTAGCTCAGGAGGACTCCAATAACTCTATGAGAATTATAAATTCAGCTGTCAGCACTGGGCTTGTCGAGTCGACTGAACAAGCAGATTTTCTCCCATTGTCTGTTTTCTAGGTTGATGAATAAGAATTTCCTCCTCTCCATTTTGTTGTAGCTCTTTCTGTCTGACACTTCTGATTGCTGAGAGGTTTTCTGGAAATTTTCTAAGTCACACAGTGGAGTAAATTCAAGGAGATAATGCGATTTCAATTGAATCATCAGTGTCTCTGCTGTCAGACCTAGTATTTTAGGAGTTGGTTGAGTTACACAACTTCCCAGATTTAATATTACATACTTGCCACTTTGCATCTTGCCCTCAAGTCTTAATAAATAGGCTAAAGGTCTGATTGGAAACTGTGAGATAAATTATATGTTTATGATGCCAAGTTAAGTAAACACTATTTGAAAGGATTTCTTGAGGGTATAATCAAGTTAATTGCTTTAAAAATCTTTTTTGATTTACTGGACTCTATGAAAATGGTTAAGCAATTGGTTCTGTCATGGTAAGTGATCTGAAGAAAGGGGCGTTTGAGTCCACAAGGGTCGCCATGCACATTTCCTCCCTCATGCCTGGAACTGCCCCATAAATGAGTAGAGAGGCCCCCTGAGGCCAGAATGTAAGTACTGCTGACAGACTGTTGTTCCTCCAGAGAAGACACGTGTTGACAGTTTGATGCTCAGGCTGACGGATTGATTTCTTTCTTTTTATTCTAGATGCTGAAGAATACCAGCCTCCAATATGGAAATCATACCGTGAGTATCTGAAATGAGAATCTCGGAAGCCTTTCGCAAGGCTGCCTTTTAAACAATTCTTACCATTGGCTTAGTGCTCACAAGCAGTCCCCTACCGCACGCCACTGAAAACCCAAATCTGTGTTTTTCCACCAAGATGAGATATTGGTCAGAGATGGCTGAAAAAGTACTGTCCTCCAACCAGGACCCTCAAGAGCTGGCTGCCTGCGCCCCACTTCAGGAAGAAGAGATGCCTTTGAGTTAGGGCTTTCTTTCTTTCCTTTCTTCTTGTTTCTCTCTCTCTTTTTTTTTTGCACAGTTTATCAGCAAAGATGAACGTGTTGACCTCCGCGAATTAGGCTCTTGGCTAATCATCCTACGTCTGTAATATCATGTGACATTTACCACAAGAAAATTGATTACCAAGTTGCAAAAAATAATGTGTAATGCTTGGTCACTAAGGGTGACTCTAGAAACAGAGATCATTATCTGATCATGGTCACCATTCGGCTCCCCTCGTGAGGACAGATAGTTATCGCCTCAGGCTCATTTCCTCTTTCCTCAGCATCGTCTACCTGACTAAGTGCTTCTCTCCAGTAAGGGAGGGAAGGAGTGTGGGAGGATGGAAACCCACTGTGTGGAGAGCCGGGGACACAGTCTTGTTTACGCTCTGCTTCTAGACGACAATAATAGAAATAATTATTATTTCTGTTGTCAACTATTGTCATTGATGTTGCATTCTTTCTCCTGTCCATTGAGACCTGCCCTGGGCCAGCTCCTTGCACTAGCAACGTTCTTGGGCTCTCAAATTCTCACCACAGCCTTAAGCAACGGGTACCATTAATATCCCTATTTCGTTCACATACAAAGAAACCACAGCTCAGGGAGATTCAGTCACTTGACAAAAGTTTTACAAAAAGCATTGAGATGACATTTAGAGTGGAACCCAGGGGCAAGCCTGCCACACAGCCTGCAAGTTTCCAAGACTTCTTTCTTTCTATTTAAAATTGTATACATAAGTACATATGCAGACACGGACGATATACATATGCAGACACGGACACGTATATGCATATACTCATGTATGTATATCTTTGTTACAAAAGCAATACAAAGCCACATAAAAGACAAACATTTCATGTCCCTGTTTGGGAGCCAAAAAATAATAATAATAAGAGCAAACATTATAGAAATACCTAAAGCTAAGAGTAAAAATTTCCCATCATCCACAAACCAGCCCCATATTCCGGTGCGTTCCCAGTAGCTGACCCCTGTCCCTTTTAGCAGGCATATCTTCCAAGTGCTTAGAACACACAGGCCTAATACTAAGGCATTTTTGTGGTTGTCGTTTCCCTTTGTAAAAATGGGTTTATGCTGGTCTTAGTGCCTTTCAACTCGCTTGTTTCACTTCACAAATATCTTGTCTTTCTCTTTCCACGTCAGCATATGTAGGGTCATCGCCATCTTCATTATATGAGTCTGTTCTTCCATCTGTGAAATAAGGGCCTGTGCTGGGTCTCTGAGGGCCCTTGCAATCCACTGTTCTGCATTCTGATCTTCTATTTTAAAAGCCAGCGCTAATGATTTAGTAATTGGATGTTTTTGTTTGTTTGTTTGCTAATGGAGTGTGAAGTGCTCTGACAGTAAATCAACAAAATATCTGCAGTGAGAGGTTCTGTGACTTGCTGTACCTTGCACATAGCCTTGCACACATTAACTACCCAATAAATATTTGTTGAGCGAATGTCACCGCAGAGAGCTTTACTGAAGCGAAAAGATGGCATCGGTTCAATTTTATTTCGCCCTTTGCTAGGAGACCTTGGGCCGCCCAATATCTCTTAAAAGCCCTTATATGTTCTAAGGAAACTCGAAAAGGCAATAATTACGTTTTCACAATATCAATTTTACCTTAGCGTATGGGTTTTAAGTTTAATTTTCGGATCTAACCAAGCTGTGTTTTTTGTTTTTTTTTTTTAATTTGCTTTAGACTCATAAAACTTCAGATGCAGAAAGGATGGTTGAGGTCATTTACTATAAACCTAATGACATATATGAAGTTCCTCTTTATTACACCCAATGAATTAATAGTCGTCCAGACTCTATTTGAGGGTGTCTAGTGACATGGAATTCCAGAACTGAGGGGAGTGCACCATCACTGGTGTGATCCACAGCATCAAAAACACATTGACCGAAGGCCTACAGAGCACCGCTGAGAAAGAACTCTTTTTAGTTGTTCTGATCCATGAATTGTTTGAGTTTGGGTGTTGGACCACTTATAATCTCACCTGACAATATTGTCCCCAAGCTCATGCTACTCTGTCTTATTCCCAAGATTATCATCTACTTTTTTGGTCTTTCGGCAAACATACAGTGAACACCTTCTGAACGTCAGAGGATAGGTTTTAGGAATCAACAATGAATAAAATATGGTCCGTACTTTCCTCCAATTTACAGTCTAGTAAGGGAGACTGATGTAAATTATTTAACTTAAAATGCAAATGGATTCTAGTAATAATATACTCCTCCTTCACCTCCTGAGATTACAGAAGACTTTATAGAAGAGGTTAAATTTGCATGTGAGTCTTGAAGGATAAGTGGGAGAAGGAATCTGGGGCCTTGCAGAACTTCATGAGATACTTTTTAAACTTCAGATATACTAAAACTATAGCATTTTCCTGACCCGAAAGTCCAATAAACCTATCAGAATATGAAATCTGTTTTTTCTTTTTTGAACTTGTTAGTAAACCCATTCTGAACCTCAGGAATTCCCAAGCTTTCCTCTTGGAAATGCTCATAAGCCATCCTTTGAGAGATTAATTTTAAATATTGATGTCCAACTCATCAGCATATCGTTAATAGACTTTATATTTTTCCATCACACGCTTATTTTTTTAACCAACAATTATTTGGTACTTTGAAATCTCTCATATATTTACTGCATGCAATGCATTTTTGCCATTTTACGGGACTTGGTTTAAAAATCGATGATGTGGAGGGATCGTGGCAGTAGGTACGTATGTCTTTACTCTCCTCCATTACCTCTTGTTCGCCATACTCTGACTTACATCAGATTCTTGTTATGAAGCATTAGTCCCAATCATGATATTTTTTTCTGAAAGAAAATTTGTCTACTCCGTAATGATCCACTTTAAGAAGCTGTTTCTAAGTTGTAATGCTAATTGCAATGTTCTTGGTTGCAAATAACAGGATATTCCACTCATTCACCTTGATTGATGTAAGCAAAAAGTCCAGGCAAACTGACTTCAGACAGGTCTTGTTCCAGCCACTCAGATGACATTACCAGAACCCAGTGTGTCTCTTCCTCCATTGGCTCGACCTTCCTAGGTTTGGCTCCGCTATGAATAGGCTCTTCCTTTGTGATCCCTAGAGAGCTGCCAACATGCCAGGGCTACCACTCTTAATTAAGCGTAGCAGGCAAAGTTTTAGAATCGAGTCTCAGCCCTGACTGACCTGAGTCACCAAGCCTAATTCCATCACTGTAGTCAGAGCTGGGATATGTTAACTGCCCTAAGCCAGTCAAACTCAGGGAGAGATCAATTCTAGATGATCCACATGGCTGGAAAATTTGGAGTACTGGTAGAACAGGAAAGATGGAAATGGATGCTGACTTAGAAATCTAGAAGAGTAAGGAACCTTAGAAATCAGCTCTCTCGATATTTTATATAGAGTAGATTGTTCATTCATTCATTCATTCATCCATTCATCCATTCAACAAATGCACTAAGTCTTTGCCTTAAGGCAGACGCTGGACTTGAAGCTCTGGGATCACAAGGATGGATAAGACTGGATCTTGATTCAAAGAACCAGGATGTCACATGATGTCCCTTCAGTTCCTGCCTTCTCTTCCCCCCGCCCCCTCCCTTTCTTAAAAGCTAATGCTGTCACTTACTGGGCTGTTTCCATAAGAATAATCTTGTCCCAAAGTATCATGTATCTGCAGCTAGCCCTTAGTACTTAAGACCAAACCTCAAAACATTAATGAAGTCACTGAGAAAGATTTGGTTTCAATTCTCTAAAAGAAAAGCTATTTTCAAGTTTACTTTAAAAAAAAAAATCAAGCCACATTCTAAACTTTAAGCCAGAAATGTATGAACTATGTGCCTTAATCAGATAAGTTCAAAAGCCAACACCATGAGAATACTTTGAAAGATTTTATTTTTTCAGAGGCCAACTGCCAATTAAGTGGAAAATGCTGTGGCCAACAGCTCTCCCAGGACACTTTCCTGGGCAGCAGGTCATGCAGTCATAGCTTGTGCCTGTTTTTTAAAGAGGAGCTTGGAACCTCAAAACCCTGGTCCACAGACCCCCTGCTTCAGAACCACCCCAGGAAAATGTAATATCTATTCCTCAGCCCTACCTTAGATGTCTGAATCAGAAGAGTGAAGGCACCTGCAATATGTCACACCCCACATGTGTTCCTCGGGCACATTTACACCTGACACACCCTAGTTCCAGTCCCCACGGCCTTCTCCTCAGGATTTTCGGTACCATCAGACAAGAGAAGAGCCCCATCCTCATTAAGCCTGGACATCATGTTAGCAAGGCAGGACCCTCACGCAGCAGGCTGAGGTGAGGTGGGGTTGAGCCGAGAAGACATTTGAGGCACCTACTATTTCTCACTCATACCATGAGCTTTTTTCCATGGAAATTGGGAAGACGTGAGCAGTGAGCAGGGCGGTACTGGTTCAGTGTCACAAACAAGGGACTGGGTTCGGCCCCTGGGTCTGCGTGGTCTCTTTAGAAATAAGTGGCTGTTAGAGGACATGCCTGCAGGGTCTCTTAGGAGTTGATGGGTCTGGACTGGGGCTTCAACGTCACCCAGGCCTCGGGCTTTCACTCAGCATCCGCGGGGACTAATTTTGTTACCAGGAGAAGGAGGTCGAGTCTTCTCATTGAAGAAAAAATAAAACATTCTCTCAGTGAGCTCTGGATTTCTCAGTCAGCTTCCGGTTTCGTCAGGAGTGCCCTTTCTCATCTCCATGTTCCCCAGTCACTGCCCCCACCTCCACCTCCGCCAAACGGTTTATTTCAACACTAAGAATTCTCTCATATGCTGTAGGGTAGGGGTCCCCAACCCCTGGACCACAGACCAAGTACCAGTCCAAGGCCTGTTAAGAACCAGGCCACACAGCAGGAGGTGAGGGCCGGCAAGCATGGGAAGCTTCATCCGTATCTGCAGCCGCTCCCCAGTGCCAGCATCACCGCCTCAGCTCCACCTCAGATCCTCAGGCATTGGATTCTCTGATGCCAAAAATGTTGGGTAGTAGGCCCGGGGCTGGGGAGCACCTGGAACATATTTGCAGGATTACTGTAGAGGCAGACTTTATTATATCTAGCCTCTTGGCCCCTAGAATCACCCAAAAAGTGACATACATTATTGCATTTTGCTTGTAAAGTGTGTTTGTTGAACTAAGAAAATTAAAGAAACTGCACTTACGATTATGCGACGTGTTTCAGTGATATTAAATGTACCGTGGAGACTTTTTTCATGGATGTTTGTGTTGTTACAGCTAACCTTTGAAAATGAGGCACTGGGGCCCTCGCTCGAAGCTAAGATAATAGGGGTTAGGGCCCTCTTTCTATATGGTGACCACGCCATTGGCTGCCATCTCATTATTTTTATAGAGACGCACAATCCAGATGCCAAACAGGCTTTTGCCTATTTGTCGATTTCTGTCATTCGGAACAGCACCAAGCAGATCTTGTGGATCCCGAGATTTGCTCAGCGAGAAATAGTAGGTGACTAATGATGTGTGCTGGCCAGGAACCCAGGAGGAGAGCAGAGGTGTCCCTGGCTTGAAGAGTCTGCGAGGAACCCCTCGAAATCTCCCCTGGCTCGTACTGACCCTGGTTTGAAACTGGCGAACTATAGCATTTCTCTTTACTGAACCTCAGGGGACTCCTAGAGGGTACGGCTATGGGCTTCAGCCTGGGGACACAGGAGAGGAACTGTCCAGAATGTTTCTTCATCCCCTGTGATTGTTAATGGCGTCTCGGTCTCCCAGCCATTCAAGGTCCTTCCCTGTCAGTCCGCCAGTGTTCTCTTAACTCACACTGTCACCATCTCTTTCAGGTCCACCCAAAATAATGTTCTCTCCCGCTTCCCTGCCTCCAAGGTCCCCGTTCTGATCCCTCCTTCCACGAGGCAAAGGGCAATGGCCCCCCTGCCTCCTGGCCATGCATTAGAATCTTCCAGGGAGCTTTAAAAAGAACCTTTCGGGGGCCCTTGCCAGACTGGCAGAGCGGGCATCACCAGGGACGATGGGGTCTGGGAATCTGTATTTTTGTAACAGCTCCTCGGGGATTCTAATGCAAGCAGCCCACATGGGGCCTCCTCGCCATCTGCGTTCCGGAGCTTCTGGAGAGGCTGGAAAATACAGACCAGGGGATCTGGAAATCAGCCTTTAAACCTCGATTTTATCGCATCATCTGTGTGACCTTGAGCTCCTTCAAAGCTTGGCATCTCCACTACTTTATCAGGGAGAGGGGCATAACAGTGACCATGAAAGTTTGTTGGAGAAATTAAATGAGAAGATGTAGATAAGGTGTCTGGCACATAGTACATGTCCAGAAAATGGCAGCTTCTCTTATTCTGAATAGTCTTATCTTTATTATCATTATTCTGAAACAGACCAGATCATGTCACCTCCCTCAAAACATGGCACCGCCTCCCCATTGCAGACAGAAGAACATCCATGCTCCTTAGCACGACCTTCAAGGTTCAGTTCCATGTGGCCTCCTCCCACATCCGCAGGAGACACACTGGACTTTCACTGATAACATCATTCCCTTTTCCTTCTGGGGCTCTATCCTCCACCTGTGGCCCCTTCTCTCTTCTCTCCATAGAGAGCTCCATGCTTCTCCCCTCTGGCCATCCTGAACACCTGAGTAAAAAGAACTGCTCCCTCTCCTCCCCTCATCAAAGTGCTTGGCCCATCCTGGTGGTATTTTTTCACATACACCTCCCTCGCTAGATCAGAGTCTTCTTAAAGTCACAGATCGCGACTCATTCATTCACCAGTTGTGCATTAAGCATTTACTATGGGCCAAGCACTGTTCTAGATGCTGGAGCTACCACAGTGGGCAGACAAAGTCACCGCCCTAGAAGAGTTGGCACTAAATTCAAGGGAGACAATACACAAAAGTGTGTTGATGGTGAGGAGTGCTGTGAAGAAGCATAAAATGGTGTAAGGGAGGAAAGCGATGGGATCGCCTTTTATCCCAAGCCGGACAAGTCAGGGAAGACCCAAACGAAGGGAGAGAGGGAGCCATCCGCAGGTAGGGGGAAATCACACGTGCAAAGGCCCTGAGGCATAAGAAAATAGACCAGGGCTTTGGAATCAAAATGATACATATTAACTGAGTGCCCCGGGGCAAATATTTAACTTCTCTGTACTTGTTTTCTCATCTAAAAAAAAAATGAGAATGAGAATGATACGACATTCTTTTTTGCTGAGTTCTCCGCAAGATTCAATAAAATATTGTTCCTAGCACACGGCACACGCTCAGTGTGTTGGTTTCTGTCTCTTTTCCCTTCCTCTCCATTCATCCTCAAAAATTCCACATAATGCTGACTATGGTATCTGTAGCAGATGTTCAGATATTTTCTGACATGAATTGCAAAGGCACGCTTAGCTAAAACTGCTTCTCTCTTGCAAGAGATGCACTTCCTTTGTCACCTGCAAGGGAACCATTAAGGATGGCATTCACAAAGCCGGTCCGGCCATGCCCTTCGCATGTAACCGTTGGCTTCAAGAGACACTGACAGCGAGAAGAGAAGAGGAGACAGTGTTCTCTGGATGTGGGTTCTGCAATTCCCCTTAGCTCTAAAACTCTAGGATTCTAGGAATTGGCCCCTCTGGTTCCCGTTACACTCATTAACAACTACACCCTGCTGTTGAGGCTGATTCATGAAGCATAAAGGAGCCTCTCATTATTTAAGGAGAGTGTGGGCGCTATGGGATGGTCAGTGGAATGTCCACAGTTACTTCTCTCTCTTTGGGCAGTTCTTCCTCACGTTTCCTTTTTGACAAAAACAAAAAACAAAAAAAAACAAAAAACCTCTGACTCTATCTACCATACATGGGTACAATTCTCCTTCAGTCACACGAGCATCATCGTTAGTATAGGCAACCTAAGCTCAGAAATATGGCACATTAAAACATCTGTAAGAGAGATAGATAGGCGCTTCTCTGTGCTAAAGCTGGGTCGTCTACACTTAATTAGGTACGAAAATAACCACACTGAGCCGAAGGCATGGGGTGGAGGGAGCCGCAATTATAAAATATATCCCATCATTCCCATCATCGTTTCCATATAACCATCTGCACTTCAATTAAAATTTCTTTCTTTATTTTTAGACCTAAGGATAAATCAGAAGATTCTCCTTAATAAGACAATGTATCTTATTACATTATCTACACTTCATATGATCGAGTTTTGAACTTTCCATAGATTTATTCCATCTAAAATTAATTCTTTCCTCTCAAGATTCTGAAGATAACGACAGCTAGGCTTGATTTCAGCTTCTGTTTTCATGGAAGTAGAATCCACGGGTACCCGCAAAGGGTCGTTTCTTCCAAGAGAAATAACCAGACTAGCTGAGCCGCAGAAAATCAGTTATAATGTGAAAAATCACAAATAATAGTCCGATCAATTATATTTTTGCATATAATTACCTGCTTTTCTCCATGCCTGAGCCCGAAGGCCAGTTTTTAAAATAGGAAATAAGAGAGTTGTTATTATTTAAGATATGAAGGAGCCCAAGAAAAAGGAATGGCAATGTGTGAGGGACAGTCAAACAGATGAGAAGCCATGGTGATAGGCAGGGTGGAAATGGGGCTCCTGAAGAGAGCAGTGACTTCGGTTCCATTCACTCACAGAATCAGTTGTGTCTTTGTACATAACTGTAACATTTCAGAAAATGACATTCCTTTTCTAAAGCCAGTCTTTCCCAGCTGTGTCAGGAGCCATCAGCATTTAAATTCAGGAACCCTATTATTACATGATCTTACTACTTCGGTCTTTGCAAGTAGAATTTCATCTTTAAAATAAATAGTCAGGAGAATTTTAGTCCTTATCTAGTCTTCCAAGAAAGCCATAAAGTGAACAATGCCGGTAACGATTACGGAACTAAATTGGCCTTATAAGAATAAAAAAATCAATTTTGCCAGTTTACATTCACAGTGACTAATTTCCATATAAATGATCTGACTTTATTTGGCCTAAAAATGGGCCCGTATCCTCTTTCTTGGTTTGAAATACTTGCCTTTTTTGAGGTGTATTTAGGTGGAACTGTTTGAAGGCATGTTGATATGTGTTGCTGTTATCCAATTATAATTATCTTTTGTTTTGTTTTTGGCAGTGTATCAATTACAGCAAGAGGCTCCTCGCCCCAAGAGGATTATTTGTCCCGGGGAGGTCAGTACTCAGCTATCTGCAATACACCTTGTTAAATGTGATGTGTTGTCAGCACCGGGTTGATATTGGAGGGCTTGCAGGTTTCCTGGGAGCTGTTTCTATTAACACTTGTTAGAATGTCACCAAATTTAACATCTTAACCTATATTTTGAAGACAGGTTTTATTTTAAAAATACCAACAAACTTGGAATCGATTGTCTCGTGTTTTTAACCATTGCAGAGGCAAAGTAAGAACACTTTGTAAACCCCCCAAAAACATGGGTTTTTTTATTGTTTTTCTTGTTCCTGATGATTTGACTCTTCTATCGTTTTTTTGTTTTGTTTTGTTTTTTTATTATGGAATGCTCCAACAGAGAAAAGATAGAGAACAAGAAATATCTAGATACCCTCAACACCCATATTTAGCAAACCTTTATACTTGGTCATATTGACTTGACATTTTAAGTCTACAAGAAAAGTGACTGTGTTTTTATTCTTGGAGATAAGCTGGAACAATATATCAACCCATAAAAATGCTGACCAGCCCACAAGACTTTCCCTAGCCCCCTTCACTAACCAGTTCTCTTATTGTCTGAGATGCCAGCAAGATTTGAAAGGCAAAACTAGGGCTCTATTTTCTATTTTTATACTGACCCGTTTTTTAACAGCTAAACTCATATTCCTCAAACAAAAGTCGTAGGTCCGTGCTTATTTTTGTTATTATGGCTTTGATTAAATACAGAGTAGCAGATGTCTTTTAAAAGGTCACATCTGCTTTATCAGGAGAAAGTCTCCAGTTCCAACACTCTTGAGATTCGTTCTTGAACGTCGGTACTTTGCGGCAGACTGACCAGGTCTGGTTTTGAACCTGTCTCAGACTTGGGGACCCACACCCAAGCCAAGTTAGTACTATTTAATTAATGTTTCTACATAAAATTTTACTTCTGTTGAAGGGCATTGAAATTCATCAAGTAATCCGAATGTTAATAGAGAATTGACATTCTCATTCTAAGAATATGGCTTAAGAGGAGAAAGTATCTAATCCTTAAGGAAAAATCCAAAATGAAATTACACACTTATTTGGTAGTCTGAGCTTGTCGTGTCACTGACCCTGCTGACTGTTGTCCTATGGTTATCTAATAATATCCAAATAAGAGGAGACTAGGATACAATTTTAATAAAATGCTTTAAATAGAGTGTTTTGGGTAAGAATTAAGAAACAGGTTGTTAAAAATTCCTTCGCTCCTATTTTACGTTTAGTATTTCTCCATCAGAAAAAAATATAGCTATGTGTAGGGAGCTAGAGGAGTTTAAATGTCTTCATGAAAAGAATGTTTATGAGATTAGAATGCAGTTATGGACTCTTCCTAGGAGTATTAGCAAAAAAGTCTCCAACCAAGGTTGAGCACCAGAAACCCAAGGGTATAGTAAATATTCATGTGTTCGTTTATTCAGCAAATATATGTGGAGAGCCTACTGTATTCTGACTTTGATCTAAGAGCTGGGGATACAGCAAAGAACCTGTCGATACTTTGAGTGTCATTAAAAGAGAACAAAGTCATGATGTATGTAATTAAAGATATATTTAAGATTTTACCCGCGCGCACGTGTGTGTGTGTGTGAGAGAGAGACAGACAGACAGACAGACAGACAGAGACGGACAGACAGACAGATTTCTTGTTTCTCAGAATCCTTACAACCATGTCAGTCGTCCTTATAAGCCAGGTGGAATGTTAGCAGTGGAAATGGGTGAATTCAAATGAGATTCGTAGACAGTCTTTCTAGGGTTCGGCTGGAACTCTTCAGACATCCGGTGGCCTGAGGGTCCCCCGCATCTCTCTTTAACATTGCACTTGTGTTGAAAGGAAATGCTACAGATGCCTTAGCAAAGCAGGGCTGGCCACAGCCACCACCATCTGCTGTGACTAAGGGACATGAAGCCCGTGCAGCTTTGTTTCTCTTGTCTGTCTTTTAAACTGCGCTTTTTCACCTTTTGACCTTTTATCAATTTGATGCATCAATAAGTTACGCCGGGTGGATGGCGGATTCATAGGTAGCTCGCCTCTAGAAATTCCATAGCCCATGTCTGCCGTGAAACCTACCCTGAAATGGATATTCCTCAGCTCCATTTCCTCAGCAGGCAGCGTGGGGCCCATCCAGCCAGACAGGTGTCAGCGATAAAGGGTCGAGCGTGCTAGAAAAACAGGTGCTGCTGCTGAGTGCCAGCGGGAGTGGCTTCCGTTCCCTTTGTCCTCCCTGGCGGCATTAACTGCAGATAACTCCTGCCCAAATCGCTTGGCCTCCCAGGACATGGCCTCCTAGTGAAGGCGCGACCTCCTCTTGGCCATGGGTGAAGCCATCGCTCCTGCAGCGGATGTTGTCTGCGCAAACGTCTGCCTGCCTCGTAACACACCTGCATGCTCAGGGGACGTGCCTAATGAAGACAGAAAGCCTTTCAGTGTGTTTGGCCAGGGAGACTGAAGCTTTATTAACGCATTTACATAAAGCCATAAAGGCTATTTCTTTTGAAGAATTCGTTATGTTTTTTCCTCTGTCTTTGCCATCTCACCCCTCAGCTAGCTGTTAAGAGTCCACGTTTTTCTTTTACACACAGCCCTCCAGCACCCTTCTTCGTCGGCAGCCCCTCTCCTCTAAGCCACCTGGTCTCTGGCAAGCCTGCCCAAGGGTCTTGCTCCAACATACTCAATCTCTTTGTTTCTCTGATGATTAATAACCTCCCAGACGAAGGGCTTTTCTGGTTAGGGTCCTCTCGTTGAATGTGGTAAACCCCCACCTTAGAGCACTGAGTCTGAAGTCGCAGAGATATGGAACACTGTTGCTCGATGGTACGGACACTGCCTTGAATGCTTGGTGGCTATCAACAGCTACCTGCCACCTAATGGACTTTGCTGGAGAACTAGGTGAGTCATGGGAACAGACCGATTCAGCAGGCAGCAGTGAGCTTTCAGGTATACAGTGCAATGAATGGTTAGGCGAAACTAATATTTAAAAAAAATCCAACGAGCTTTGCAAACCCAGACAGGGGAGCCTGGCGGCAGAGCCGGCAAGACTTACCTTGCATCCTCCCTCGATTACTTTCTAGCGAGCTGACTTACACCCACGTACTTACTCCCTCAGGGGTCTCGGGGGGGATTAAGGTCTGCCCCGAAGGCAGACATCTGCTCTGCTGGGTGCCTGGCACCTAACAGGTATTCAGTGTTCATGACACGTGGCAGATTCAGAAACCCGTGAAGAACAGGTTCTGAGACAGTCATTAGGGACAGAGTCAGAGCAACGACAGTATTTTCTGAATGTGAGGGTAGAAAAGGCAGTGATCAAGAACGAAGCAGGATGCCTGGGTCAGGAATTAAACCACCAGGAGAAAAGATACTAAGGATGAGGAACAGAAGGTACAAGCAGCTGAACAACGGCTCTGGCGCCAATTAAGCCAGGTAGGGTCAGTTACTGAAATAACAGTTCATTGCTTTCTTGAGATTCATCGCTGTAAATTAATATTTATTGAGCAGCCGCGGCACCTGGCACTCCGCTGGCATTTCCTGAGGACTCTTTGCCAGGAGATTCAGAACTTCTTCCAGTATGCAAAATTCTCACTTGCCCTTCCCGTCAATTATCAATCAGTCATTTCGTAAACATTTATTAATTACTAAATGTGTTCCTGGGTGGTCGGCCAGGAACTATGCAGAATACCGACTCCCAAATTTGTATCTTTAGCTAAAACCTTTCCCCTGGGCCCTAAGCACCTCATTCCATCTGTCTACTTGACCTCTTTAAGTAGATGTCCCACAGACCACCTCTAGTCTAATGTTCAAAATAGAACAGGACCCCACTCCATTAAATGTCACCTAACTTTACAAACCTTGACGCCTTTACCCTTACCCTTTTCTCTTAGGAATAATCAAATTTACCTCCAAACGTATCTTGCATTTGCCACTCTTCTCTATCTCCACGATCGTCTTGTGGTTTGGGCCATCATCGTTTCTCGCCTGGATTATTACAAGTCAGCCGCTCCTTGCTTGGTCTCCCTGCTTCTGCTCTTGGCATTCTCCCTACAGCCTACACACACACACACACACACACACACAAGCACACACGCACACACGCACACACGCACACACACACGCACACACGCACACGCACGCACGCACGCTCTATTCACCAAACAGGAGCCCAAATCATCATTGTTAGTTATAAATTCAACAGTTACAACAGCTTCCCATGGCTCTTTAAATAAAAACAAGACTTCTTGCTATGCCTGTGAGCCATGGTGCAGCTCCGGCATTCATTACCGCCTTGTCTGGACCATCATTTCATCCCCACTCGCTCTGTCATCAAACCACAGTACCGCTACCTCAGGGCTTTTGCATTTTGCTCTTTGCCTGGATTTCATTCCTCTAGTTCTCTGCATGTCCAGGTTTCAGAACAAATTTCACCGAAGAACCAAAGTACTCCCTGAGCCCCACGAAAATTAGCACCTGCAGATCTTCTCTGTCCTATCACTTTGTGTATTTTATATGTAGTACTTAGTACACGCTTTAATATACTTTCTTATCATATGTGATTGTTTACTTGTTGCTTGTACATCTTACTTTAGGAGAATACCAGCTTCAGAGACTTCGTCAGTCTTAATCATAGGTGCTTTCTTCCCTAGCGTTGAGCACAATGCCAAGCAGCAGTGGGCAATCAGTAAATATATGGTAAAATGATGAGAAAAAGGGTAGAGGCCACTAATATAAGACATTTAGAATTCTCAAACTGTTACTAATAGCATATCAGATTTACTCAATGCTGTTATTAGGCTAGTGAGATGGGTATTTGGCAGTTCAACTTCTTACTTAAACATAGACTAATACTTTTTCCTGGAATATTTGAAATTTCTGTTTGGCCTTTTGGAAAGGCCAAACATCAAGATTCACTTGCATGACTAATACGAAATTAAATTCCACTAGAGTTACTTAAAGCATCCATAATAAGTAGAAATTCTTTTGTAACTGTAAATGATT